TCTACCAGAGCCTCCACACCACAGAAAACTCAGCTGTTTGGCAGTCTCATATTCAATCCACCCCTTGGGGCTTACTGAAATGATGTGGCCTTTGAGACCATGAGCAGCATCCGCACATTCCATTACTGCACTGAGCTGTGGGTACCCCACTCCAGTTTTCTTCCGGGTTGTACACACAGAGCCTGGCACAGGACATGACAAAGGTGAAAGTGAAGTGCTTCACAGATATTGGCTGCCACCAAAGAGGTCACCAATGGCTTACCTGGACCAATTCCCACTTTGATGATGTCAGCTCCAGAAAGAATCAGTTCTTCCACCATCTCTCCTGTTACCACATTCCCAGCCTGAGATATAGCAATCAGAATAGAGCATCCAAAATGGAGAGGAGTTTGTGTATTTTCATAGACAACATGCTTGGACACTGACCTTCCAATGTTATTGCACAGAAAAGGTACCAAGGTCCCCTCTACTGGGCCCTCCAAGAACTTTTATACTAGCTAATTCAAAGGGCAGTGTTTCCTAACCATTTACCTTTGGTCCCCACACCATAATGAAGTGAGAAGAATGGTGGGAAGCAGAGCTTTTGAATGAAGAATGGCCCGTGTCACTGTTAAACTACGGTAAATCTAGGGTCCGGGATGTATTGCCACTGTTTCGGGCAATAAAATGATGTGATCAACAGTGAGACATGAAGTGGCATGAAGTGAGGCAAGGTAACTACTAGAGCAACTCAGATTTGAGTTATAAGTAAACTTATCTCCCCTTTACCACCAAGTGAGTAGGATATATCCTGTCCTGAAGCTGTTGTACCATAGAACCTCTTTGGCTTTAGGGGAGAGGGAAAAAAATAGCCATTTGGCTATATACCCATATACCCCAGCTGTATTTGCCTTAACTTTTTTTTTAGTACTGGGAATCAAAACCATGGGTTCTCTGCCACTGAGCTATGTCCCCAGCCCCTTTTGTATTCTGAGATAGGGTCTCACTATGATGCCAAGGCAGCACTTGAACTTGCCCTCCTGTCTCCATCCAAACTGCTCGGATTACAGCGTGTACCACCATGTACAGCTTGTATGCTTTTGATGAGATACCTCCTCAAAACATCAATGATGAGGTCTTGTCATCATTCTCCTAAGCTTCTAAGAAAAACAAAGTTTAACAACATGCCTTTCATATGATTGAAGTACATATCCATTTCAGTGGGTAGCTGTATATGTACCACAGGTATGTACAGTTCCACTGTGGTTTGTTGAATGAGGTGAGAGACACTGGATTTACAAAGACTAAAAATCAAGGGTCAGTATATATTTTAAATATATCAATATATATTGCACTGATCAATATATATTTTAAACTTGGAACCAATAACATTATGTGGAGTCAAAACAGCATAATGCAGCCAAAGAGAAATGAACTGATAATAACAAAATGGGAGTATCAGGAAAGAGTAGAAGGACAGGAATGTACCGACTACAGGATAATAGAAACATACCATGATAGTGTGTTGGGGAAAGCGCTTCCGGACATCCTTTACAAATTCAACAAAGTGTTCAGAGTAACCATTTGCTACATCCAGGCATATATATTTCACATCGGGAATAGTTTCCAGGATCTGTTCCAGCTGCTCAAAGTCAGAAGAGCCTGTGCCTGAGCTAGCAGCCAGATACTATAAGAAAAACAGGGCCTTTGGTATGAGAGACATTAGACTAGACTGTGGCATTGTGTCAGAGATGATCTGGTGAGCATCCAGTAAGGGGTAAGCATGAGAGTTGTTTTCCAAAAAGCCAAAAAAGGATTCCTGGAAAACTGGGATAAGGAAGGGAGCAGGGTAGGCCCAGTGTTACCTCAAGACAGTCAGGATTCTGGCTAGCAAACTCTTGCCATTGATCAAGGCTGTAGTGCTTATGGATAGCAGTGAAGAGGGAGAACTGGGGAGAAGAAAGAGAATCATCAAAAAGGAGAAAACTTGGTGTCTCTTCCTAGAAACAGATGCTTCTACTATTCTGAGCAATAAAATACGGGAGTTTGAAAGGAACCCCACTTTAAAAAGTTAATGGTTAAGCTAGGATTTAATTCAATCATGATTCTCCCTACAAATCCCAGTAAGACTTTACCATATAAGCTAGTATTTGTGTATCAGTGTACTACTGAGTTACCTACATTGCCTCTGACCTAAAAGTGACAAGGAGAAGCTGTTGGTGTAATGGAACAAGTAGCAGACCTGGAGGAACTATAAAGAGGCCAGATGGAGCTAGTGTTTGTCCTCACTTAACTTCTCCTCTTAAGGTAACCTAGTATGAAATGAATCCAATTTTGGTATCTTATGCTCCACTTTATAGCAGTAATTCAGTAAGTCTAGATGCCCACAAAAGGTAAGGCCTAAAGGTTAATGGAGCTGATAAGGTGCTATCCCATACTTTCTCCATTTCTACTGGAGGACCCGTTTTCTTCTTTTGGACATAAACATGAAAAATCTGTTTCATTCATCTATTTTACTCAACCAAATTCAAAGATACAGTGACTCATCAGGCTTACTATTTTCTACCTCAACAAATTGCAAAGAATATTGCAATACTTTGAGAAAGGCATTTAAAAAGACCTGAATGGTAGTGTTTGTGCCTGAATGCAAAAAAATGACAGCAACCAAAGAGAAACCCAAGTAAGTTACGGATGAGGCAGCCACAGGAAATGCTGTACTTCCCTAGAGGTCATCAACACTAGCTAAAGCTGAAATTGAATTCTCTCTGAACAACGCTCTACCATTAACATGTTGGTAAAAGATCTTGTTCTAGGCCAGTGGTGGTGAGCCTATGGCATGCATGCTACAGGCAGCTGTTTGTTATCACTGAAAGTTCTTAAAGGTTCGCCATCACTATTCTAGGCAGTCAGTAGGTCTGGGAGGTTCACAGGCATAATGTGCCATGATGAGCACATCCAGTACATGCCAAGCTGCCAAGCCTAGAAAAAGATGTTTGCTTGCATCTAGGCTTTTTATTATTGTGAGAGTTGGCTCTACCTCTAAAATCTGATTTCCTTAGCACACTTCAGCAATACTGACAACCAATCTCAAAGAATTCAGACAGTCCCCAACAATTTAATTTATTATAGCAAGTCTGTTAACCCTCAGCCATATTTACTATTCCCAACTCTAATGGTCAAGGCAGGCAGACAATGGACAACAGTGGGGTTCCTAACAGTTAGTGAATGGCAACATGAATAAATAAAACTGTATAACTATCAAACTCAGAAATCACAATGGACATTCCACAGACACAGCAAATGGCCGGGGATTTAGCTCTGGTTCCACCATCTGCCTGGAAAGGGCAAGGTCCTGTGTTCAATCCCCAGTACCAAAAAAAAAAAAAAAAAAAAACCA